TGTCCTCTCTGGCTTTAGTTGCATCCAAACAGCTGTCACAGGATGGCAAACAAGAGAAAGAAGAAGCTGCTCAAAGAGATCCTGAGATGCCGCCAAGGGCCGAACGATGCGAGGACAGCGGCCAGCCACTGTGAGCGCCTTGCCTGCCTTCCAGGGTGTGCTGCCTCTGCTGCGTGTGGCTTTTGTGTTCCCAAAATGCAGCTTAGAGCCACGGGATGCACTTGGTGACTGATGTGATGTGGAGTGAAGTCGCTTAAAGGAATGTGCCCATCCCAGGGCCAGAGTTCCGCTTTCAGTGCCCCTCTGGGTAAGGGTTTTAGCCTTTGCATGTGGTTGGGCACTGGCCAGATTTCCTTCTCAGAAATTAAGAAAACCAGAAGGGAAAACCCCTTCCCCCGGGAGTCCCGGTTGCATGATGGACACCCATGGTATTAATACTCAGCTGCTGTACGTGCTGTGGCCTCTATGGACATTGGCTCCTTCTGTCTTGAGTTAACGCCAAGTGAGTGATGCTACTGAAAATATCTTTAGCAATAAGCAGACTTTGACTGGCTGGACTGAATGTTGTCCTAGTTCGTGGCCTCTAGCCTCTGAATGGGAGGCTTCGGGGAGAGAAGAGAGCCCAGAGAAGATGAGAGCTCCTGCCTGGAGCGGCAGTCAACTAAGAAACCAAAGAAAGTTGTATGATTCACAAAAAGACGACATGCTAGCCAGGAGAACTGGGATGTCTCTTAGGCACCCTGGATCCAACCCAAACCAGTTCCTTCCGGTTCCATTTGCAAAGCAACAGGATGTGGAAGAGTCTGCCAAGGGCCCACCAACAAAAGATAAGAGGTCAGAGGGTTATCCTGTGCCTTGTTTCTTGTGACTTTGTTTCTCCATTCTGAGCCTTGATACGTGCTTTGAATATGCTATTAATGCATCATGGTACATCAGTGCTACTCACCTGCTATTGCTTAAGGAAACAGAGTGATAAAAACTGGCCCGGCCTGCCAAGAATTTGTTTTCCTTTTTTTGCATGTAAGCAGGTATGGAAAGAATAGTTCAGTTGTGAATTTTTCTGTTAAGCTTTCTTTTTGACTCTCATCTATGGGCACCCTAAATGAAATGCTCTTTTGTTTCTTCCCAACTCACATAGGAGCCTTTGGGCAAAGGGGTTGAACTTCTTTCTAATCTACTTGATTTCACTCTGATTCTAGGAGGGTCTTCCAGTCCAAAGAAGATGTATACCACTTATAAAATTTGTGATTTAATTTAATTTCAATATTAGGAAACAGTGTTTTCTAGACGCGGGAGTTCTCTTCTGTGCCGAAACTTGATTTCAAATGAAGAGTAGGGAAATAATAGACCTGGCATTCATGGTCTGATTTAAGGTCATATATGTTGAAGCTTCTGTTGCTATTTAGCAGGAATACTATATCTGAGGACTGCCTGATCAATGTAAGGCAAAGGAGTGGGGGTGTTTAGCATAATTGTAAGTTCCACTATGAAACAGGACGTGATGATGTCCTGCTTCACAAAGGACCTTGATGGCAGTGGGACAGAGGGTGGCGTGGGGAGCAGGGAGAACCTTAAGTAATCCTAAAATTTTGAAATTAATATCTTAGCCATCTTTATCATCTGGATTTCATCTGGCTTACATTCTTCTGAATTGTAATGGTAATACTCTAGGACAGCCTTATTCTAACACTGGTTTCAGGGAGCAGGGGTAATGTCCGTGCTGTACTTTATGGCTGTAGGGTGCTGTGTAGCCTTTTCAACGTGTGTCTGCTCCCTCTGGCTCACCTTCTGAGAATTCACAGGTAGGCTGAATCGATGTTAGTTCCACGTCATAGACAGGATGCCTGGTGTAGAGAGAAGGTAAGTGAGTGGCGCTCACTTGGATACTGAATAGTTAAGGCTGGTTAGGACTGGTCCACCACAGTCACTGGCTTTGTAGGTGCCCTGACATAGCTTGACCCTGGATCTGTGGACTACTGTAAAGCAAGTTAGAGTGAAGAGAAGAAAGGGAAGGAGGCCTGCAGCTGCCTACATTCTGGATGCTTTCCCGTTTACTTACTACTCACACAACCTCTGCAAGTAAGAGCTTTCATGTGCATTCTGCAGTTAGGAACCTGAGGCCCAGGTCTGCACAGCTGGTAATTACAGACCCAAGATTTAACCCAGCTCTGTCTGAGTGGAAAGCCACCGTCCCACTGCAGCGCAGTGCCGACGCAGATTACTAGAGGAAACTGTGGATGTCTGATGAATTCCCTGTCACCTCTATCTGTCCCTCTATTTGTGACTCAGAAGGAGTCCTCTTTATGTTTGAACGGGACTGGATGGCTAGTGTGAATGTGAGGAGATACAGTTGGATTCACTGTGTGACACAATTATGTGTTTGAGCAACACACACCTTGGGAATTCATTTTCCTTTTAACAGTATTTATTGAGTAATTATTGTCTGTAAGACACACTGTGCTGGGTGCTGGGGATAATCTTAGATGAGCAGCAAACCCATTTTTCCCTCACTGCAAATAAAGCTTGTGTTAGTTCACAATATGGAAATATATAGCCAGCTAATTATTAATTCTGGAGTGCATTATTAATTCTGAAAGTTACATAAATACAATCAAATAGGTGCACAGAATATTTCATTTATCTTTCTAAATATCCCAACCCTCACAATGAAACTTTATTAATTGCTTCTTTTTAGGACGCTTATGACCAACTATGATTTATCTGGCCAATTTTGTACCTCATAGCCTATTGATTCACCTGCTTTGCATTTTTTAAAATCTCTATTATTTTTTAACTTACCTTTACATTTTGATTGCCCATAGGACAGCTGGGAAAGCCATTTGAAGCCCAAGCTCTAATTATCTTCTGCTTAACAGCAAAGGCAGTTCTGTTTAAATCAATGCCCTCAAAAGCTGATAAATTAGTCTATGAGGAAATTCTTAAAATCTACAAGTGTATAGTAAAGGAAAAAAGTTAAGCTTATCTTCAGAGACTGTGCTACACTTTTCAATTTCCAGACCTATAGTCAGTAAATAATTATTGAGGGCCTAGTCTGGTCACTCTTCAGGGTACCCCAAAAGAAAAACCTGTGCCCTTATGGATCTTACATTTTAGTGCAAATGTACGTTTGTTGGCAGAGATGTTCGTGAAATGCTGTATTTTGTGTAGAAGCAATTTAAATTCAAATATATCCTACAGCGACCACATAGATTGAACCGCAGACAAAATATGCGAAAGAAGCCAACTCAAAAGAGTACATACTATGTGGGTCCATTCACATAGTACAAGACACTCAACAGTAATCTCCAGGTGGGCTCGGTTTGTAAAAAATCACTGAGGTGTATGTGTACGGTATGTGCACTTTTTGTATGTATGTTATACTCCCATCCAACATTAACAGAAACATTCAAGTAGAGACACAAAAATACATAACCAACTATTAATTGGTTATTTCTAGGTTAACCATCCATTAGGAATAAGTTCTCGGCGCTCCTCCGTAGATTATTTAGAAAACACTGTATTTGAATAATTCTATTCCAGTAGGCCTATTAATTAACTGGGAAGCATTTATCCAGTCTTCAGAATTAACGCTGCTTATTCATTCTCTCAGTGTTCAGAAACCCACTGGTCATCTGCTTCAATGTCACGGTGTTTTTGGGAAACTGAGTGTATTAGGTTAAATTTTAGCAACTTCTGACACTACCCCCTGGAGAAATGGAAAAAGAGTCTTACTGCCAGAAGAGAAACGTCCACAAGCCCTTTCCTTGTCTTGTTTTTGGCCGTGTCAACAGATACTTTGGGTTTTGCCCTGGTGTGGTTGCCTTCACTATGAATGAAAATAATTTTCAATGAATGGAGACTGTTCTGCATATGGGAGAGAGGGGTGTATGTGTGTGTGCACCCATGTCTTCTGGGGTGCTTTCTCTGAGATTAAAGGAAGAGATTTTAGAAATTACCCTTTTCCCTATAGTAAACTATTATGAACTAAACACGGGATCAGGTAATTTTTGCTAAAAACCCCACAATTTAATTTATTGGGAACTGAAAAGCAGGATGTTTTTTCTTTACTCAATTCTTTATCCACCATCAGAATGCAAAAATGAACAGCCTTTTAGGGCATAAAAAAGAAGCTTCTCTTAAAATTCCCCTTTGCAGAGGGATTGGTGGGAGCCATTGGTGGGAGCTGCATTTTTAAAATGTGCTTACAATATGCCCTTCTGAAGATCTAATTTTGCTTTCTAACTTGACCTTTTCCGTTGCTTTATCAGATACATTAAAACTTAAAGTGCCTATATCGCAGAGGGTACAGCTTTGTAGATCAAAATAATCAGAAGACTATCAAAGAGCATAAAAAACACTTTTGTGTTTCAAGTGATGGAATATCCAAGTCTGGTTTGTATTAAGGCTGCCCGTTTTCTAGGAATTGTGGTTTTTGTCAAATGCACGCAGAAGGCACTGATTGGGGTTCTGCTTGGAGACCTGGTTTGCTTTCAGAAAACTGCAGAAACCTCTTTGATGTCATTTGTGCAAATGCATTAACACATTGGGGAAAGGGCCAGTAAGCGCGTGCTTCTATGTTGGGTGTCCATTACAGCCCATTCCGGCTGAGCACAAGGCATGAGCAGTTTAACTGTTTGTGAACAACCCTAATGCAGGTTTGGGTTTTTTAAAGCTGCCTCCTCTAAACGTCGTGGGTTGCACCTAAGCCTTTTCTGTGTTTATATTGAACAGATTCTTTTTGTGTGGGTAGCGTGAGGATCATTTTCATTTCTCCTCTGTATTTTAATACACATATTGCATTCTTTAGACCTGTCCATATGCTCCTTTCATTTTCAGCAGTTAATGAACATTGTTAATTGTATAATGACACTTCTCTTCCAGTATGATCCGAAAAAAACAGGTTTGGCACACTTACATTTCATCGGCAGCTTTTCTTTCCAGCTTGGTTCCAGCGTTAACCTTATCTTGCCAACCCTCTAATTTTGTATTTGGTCTTATAGATACGGTCCGAGAACTGCTGTGTCTGATGACGCAGAGTAAGTTGTCTTGTAATCTTGGAATACATTAATTACTAGCCTAAACTGCATGCCTCCAGTACTTACCACTAATGGAAATGCAATTGGTGCAACAGTGAACTGAATAGCTAACTGACTCGCGCAGCCTCGAAAAGCACTTGAAGTTGGAATGCAGAACACATGTTCTGTGCAGGAGACATGAATGAAAAAGCAACTGAAGCATGATTCTAATATGCAGCTGCTGCTTGAAACTTAACATTTGCTTTTCATAGATGGGGCATGTTAAAGTTGTTCTTGTTACCGTTTGGATGTTGGTACCCCTTCTGAACCACGGAATTATTAAAGCAGGATTCTGCATTTCCATTTAAGTCTTGATGTGTTAGGGTTTGGAGTTAGCGAGGAAGCAGTCGTTCTCATGGCCACATTTTTTTTTAACTAAGAAAATAAATTCTAAACCACTAATTATGGATTCAGGAGCCCAAGTTCCTCCCAGGTTGGAGTAATGTAAACTGTGGGATGCTTGACACCAACATGTTGGGATTTTGGTCAGGTTCCGTCACATAGCAAGGACTCAAAATTGAAAACAGGACTTGGGCTTCCCCTATTCTCAGAGATCTCAGAGATTCACTGGCCATCCCTTGCCTTGCCTCCAAATTTGAAAAGAATCCACACTCTCCCACTTGTGACCGCATTAACTCTGTTTCACAAATGGATTCCCCATACACAGAGCATTCTGAAACCAATATCCAAGGCAAACGTTTTCTTAGCGAAGTACTAGCATCCTCGGATTGGAGTAACTTGGGTTCTAAGACACATGATTAATACCGAATTCCACCGTCAGTCGCCTGCTGAGCCTGATGTGGTTCCTCTGTGAGAGGCATTTTCTGGGCTCGTGGAGTCTGGCTCCCACCACCATTCTTTCCCCCATCTTCCTGCTCTGAGCCATAGTTCCAGGTCCTACAGTGAGGAAACCAAATAATGGTGTAGGACACACACAACCCTCATCTCCACCAGTGACAATGAGAGTCAGCCAAAATGCAGTTTTCAAATTGCGCTTTTTCCATGTTCCTGCTCAAGATGTCAGCTTAGTTTGTTCTCTAAACCCTAAGCAGTCTGACTCCAGCACCAAGGATGTCAGTTCCCCACGTGCGATCTCTGATTGCTTTGCGGCCTGACATTCCCATCTCAGAACCAAAACCAAATCCACCCTGAGCTTGACTGACTGCATGGAATTAAGTAGTCAATAAAACTAAGCCCTGGTTATAACTTTTAAAATCTGCAGTGGCAATATTTAACAGTCACTGAAAGGAGGATTACATAGGATTGATGGGCAAAACATGACTTTGATTGGGTTGAAAAATATTTTAATAGAATGGATTTATCCTTCATCAGTGCAAAGACAAGGTGCAATCTGCCTGAGATAGATCTCTGGGAAGTCCTAATCAGTGGAAGAAAAGAGGTCTATTACAGAGCTTTTGGATTTTTCCTGGACCTCAATATGAAAGCTCACCCACAGAAATTAATGATGTTTTAAAAGGGGTGGGGTTGGGCTTGGGGACTCCCTTTACTCCTCCACATTTACAAAAAGCAGCCTTATGGAATAAAGGTAAAAGGAGCTTCTTTTCCAGACGTCTTATCTAGGAATATCAGAAGTACCAAATTTCTTTCTTGGAGTAGACACAATTGACACAAAACCGTGCGAGGAACAAAATGAAAAGCTGATATCGGGAGTTTATTTTTTAACTAGAAATTCGTACTATGTTTAGTTTGTTAACGCACTATCTCCCTTTTTCAAAAATGTAAGGGCAATTATTGGCGCGGGCTCTATTTATTCATAATTGACACATTCTTAAAATACAGCCCAATTAGAAAAAGATGTGCCCTAAGGAGAAGCAGGTCAGGGGCAGACCCACCACACAGGCAAACAGAAATTTCCGCTGCCAGGCCAGCCAGGAATGTTTCCGTGGGTTTAGTTTCACCTCCTTGCCCTTTTCCTCACTTCCCTGCCCCTCTCCCAACACCCTCCCCACCGGCAGAGCCTGTAGCTGCAAGAGCCACAGGCCATCTTACTCTGAATTCCCTTACCTTGGACTTGGCCCGCAAACCATTTCCAGGCTCCCCTTGAGGTCATTTAATCCTGGCCCTCAAAAATGCCAACCCACCACCAAGAAAGACTCCCAGGCTCCTCAGCCAGGGTCCCTTGTCCCAGCAGCCCACGGGCATGGCTTATTGTGTTGAGAAGCACCAGTTTAGTGCAAGTTACATTAATATTCTGGAACCTGGGCTTCAGGATGCCCCCCCCCATCCCTGGACATACACTTCTGCATTTTGGAGGCTGAGTCCAACCTCTGAACTAGGGAACATTTTCTGAATGGTGACTCAGCCTATTTTCTGTCTAGTATTTTCAATTCTCAACTTGCTTAGTTCCTTTTTTAAAAAAATGTTCTAAAGATACTATTGCTCAGAGTGTGTTGTTTCCTTTTTGGCCAGTTTGCTGGTATTTCTTTAAAAAAACCAACCAACTCTGGGAAAAATACTGCTTCCTGGTATATGAGAGGGCAAACAAAAATTTCTCTTTTTATTTCACTAATCAGCTTTTGCCCACAGTTGGGCTGAGGCAGTTAGAACTTCATGATGGGACAGAGATAGAAACTCGGGACAGAAGTCAGTTCTGAAGGCCCTGCTCTTGTCCTCTCTGAGTCTGTCAAGTGAGATAACCAAGTCCCAATCTTGGAGAAGGCTGCCATTTTTTTCCTGAGGTCCCAGAAGAGGACCTGGCTGTATGGCCACCCATTGTGGCCTAAACCAAAATTCTGCCCTTTAGAAATTATATAAATGACAAAGTCGAAGGACTTTGTTGGCCACAATCTGCCAACTACTGAGTAGATTATAAGAAAGTCCCAGCTCAGAGAGATTTTTATCTGCTAAGATCTTCACAAACACTGAATTGCCTTAAAAGATGAACTGACTGAATTGATTATATTTAAAGGTAAGATTTTTTAATTTATTTTTTAACTCTGAGAGGAGGAATGGGATGAATTTCTGTCTCTTTCTGAAAAGCCTATTTTAGTGAACTTTGATCCATGAAGTTCAAAAAACCATGGATTAGACTTTTCTACCTAACTCTGCAAATTCCTAAATCTTTCCTAAACATTAATAAGTAGTATAAAATAAGGGGAAAATGGCAGTCCCTCCTACTTCTTGAGGACTACCATTTATCTGGAAGGCCTGGGTCCCACGATCAACACTACTGCCTGATACATGGAGGCAGCTCCACAGGGTGGTTTGTCATATCTGAGCTAAGAGAAGCCTCAGATAAAAGTTGTTCTGTGCAGTCAGATTATTAGAATACTCTTGGGGAAGACAGATTACAAGTACAGTCTTCAGCTTTAGCCCTCTTAGGTCAGACTTAAATTGTCCACCATCTATAGAGGAGAGGGGCACCTACACACCCTTGCAGATTCATTTTGAGTGGATTGAATGCAGGTGGGCAGCCACTGCCTTGGGGGTCCTGTTCCCTTCCAGAAGCTGCCTGCTGAGGAGCCCACCAGCATCCAGTGATGCTGCTGCTGTTGATTGGCCGTGGCAATAACTATTTTGGACATCACTGATGATGTCTGGAATTAGTTGGTGTCTGAATGCATGGCTTTTCTTTTTCTTTGTGTTAAGCTGGCTTCAAAAATGGACTATCATGGTCTTCTGTTCTTAGAGTGAACTTTAAGGCCCTCTCCTCATTTCTTGATTTTGGGACTACATAACCCACTTGGTCCCAGAGCTCATCATTTCTTTGAGAGAGAAAAAAAGGGGAGGATTTTGCTTTGGTTTTTATTTCTGTTTTCATCTCGCTGCTTAAGCTTTTGCTGGAACAAAGGTCTATGTAAGCATCATAGAAGAGACCTTAGGGTCTTGCCTGCCATTTAATAAGCTCCTATAGAATATATTAGGGTTTAAAATTGTTTTCCCTATATTTTTCTTTTGAAAAAGTAAATTCAGAGGTATCCTGATATAAATAAAGAAAAATGATTGTGAGAATATTAGGATACAAAGTATATACTGATCCCTTAATTGTAGTATAAAACACCTTTTTTTCTTGATTCCAAGATGCCATCAACTGCACTCTTGATTGACAGTTTTATAGGAAGTGGAAATAACCACATCAAACACATGCATCACTAATGCATAGTTGTTGGATGCATCCAAAATTCAGGAAATAGTACAAATGAAAAGATGGGTGTTTTAGACTTAAGGCCATGTGAGATATATACGTTTTTTTTAAATGGAGAGATTGCTTCAGCCAGCGTAGAAAGCATTTAAGCCAGGTCTTGACACAAAGAAGCATTTACTGTAATAAAGCTTCGCCCCATGGAGCGCCCCCCCTCTTCCACAAACTCTCTCCAGGTTAAACCTTTTCGTTCTTTTTTTATCTTCTAATACGTTTCCAAACAGAGGAGCGCAGAGCTTCATATGCCTTTTCTAGCTCTTCTTTAAACATGCTGTGGCACCTACGTGTCTAATTACATTGACCACTGAGGACAAAGCGGGTCCCGTCTTGGCTGTTGCAGCAGCAGCAGGGGGGGCGGTGCTGGCGCGCAGGCCGCGGG